CACAATCGATAACCTTCGAAATCTAACGTTGCGATATAATTTCGAAGGTTTTCGAATTAATATAATTACTGATGAAGCCAAAGAAGACTTTAGAAGAAATGCATGCATTAAGCCGGTACCATATTGCAGATTGTTATAATATGTCACCCGAATTAATAACCGAAGATTTTATTTCAGAGTATAGTAAGTACGAACATATGAAATGGTTCAGAAACCTCTGGAAACTACGAGATGCAGGCACTAATAACGGGACGGCAGTTGAGGCTATTATCTGTGAAGATTATAGAAATGATAGACTTACAACCGTTACCCAAGCTGAGAAGTATCGAATTTGTCTGGAATTACTAAAGATATGCACACCCGTTAAAGATATTGATAACTGAGATAAATATAAAGCCGATATTGTTAAATCGTGCTTAGAGTCACCTGTATCTATGAAGTATCTCCAGAATTTAGTACCTAAAATAGCACGAGTTTTTGATAATACAGACGCATCTCGCAGTGCTAAAAAATCTGAATTAAAAACAATAAAATCAAAATTAGGATTATTGAATTTAGCACTTTCTGGAACTTATGGAATAAAGTTTAAAGCTATTGATAAAAATTGTAGACAATATCATCTTGTTAGGTCATTTGATAGTGAAAACGCCCCTAAATTACCAGTATACCAAACGAGTGAAGGACCCTTTTATGAAAGTGGTGAGGATATGCGTTATGGGTATAGTAAACTCTCATCCGACGAACTAGAGATTGCTCCCAGTTCTGATATACAGTTGCGTCAAGAATTGTTTGATATCGTTTAAAGCAAGTATTTAGGATCCATAGTATATTCTACAAAGGGGGGTTTTTGTGACGCTTAAAAAACGCGATTGGAAAAATTTAACCCCACGGTTATATATATCGCAGAAGGGGTTTTTGTGACGCATAAAATGATATATACTAAAAATCTATCTATTGCTTTGCAGGCTCATAGGGTGGTCTCTTTGAGGTATGGGATAAGATTTCCCTACTCAGAAATAAACCCTTTCTGCCTCATTCGATAGTTCAATGAATGAAACCTACCAGAATGTTTCGGACAGCATCCTGTAATAGAAACGGTGGGTACTCCGCAGATTGAACAAGAACCTTTCGCTATATTTTTCTCATGTAAATTCCAATATTTTGCACAGCCAGTAGTTCACGTACAAACTCTTCCACAAACTGAGCCATCTCTTTTAATATGTGGACAAGTAACACACTGATCATTTGGATCGAGTTTTCGACACCCCATAATATTTTTGGTATAGGAATGGTATAAATGTCTTTCACTTTTATAATATAAATACCTATTTAAATATTCAGATATTATAATAAGATATAAACATCTTTACATACTGATTACATAAATATAAAATGGGTGACCAAGATTTTGATATCTCCGAAGAAGTACTTAATCTCTCCACTAATCGCTGGATCAAGAAGAATGGAAAGCTATTCCAAAAATTATTGCGTGAAGGGTATAAATATACTAGCAACCTTTCGCATTATTTAGAAGATATACCACCAATAGATATTGACAAATATAGTACAATCTATCTATCAGCTGATTTCTTTCATTCCGCTTTAATCCCACCCCTTTCCATTTTAGCAAGAAGAAGAGATATATGCAGAAGATATCCTATTTCTATAGGTACCGCTGTTGAGGGAGGAATGAATCTGTTCGTTATAGAAAAAAATGGAAAAACGTCTTTAGAAAACTTAATCGTGATGGATTATTCCAGCTTATATGTATTATTAGAGATGCGCTGGGGTGATAATGAAACTAGAAAATAGCGAGATAACATCCTCATGAAATTCCTCCATTGTCCAAATTTAATGACTTCTAAATATAGACCGAATGCCTTGTATGATGCATTTAGTAAAGCAGACGTTCTAGGTCCAGAACATATACTCGCTATAGCGCGAATGTTACAATAAAAAAGTAATAATTACCTGATGTATTATCATAGCCTGGGCTCCTACCCCCGAATATACGTGTTGCCCAAATCCCAAATTACTAATATTTGGGATTTGGGATTTGGGATTTGAGATTTCGGCAAAAAATACTAATCATAATTTGGGATTTGGGATTTGGGATTTCGGCATTTGGGATTTCGGCATTTGGATTTTGAATTTGGGTGACAGGTATACCCCCGAAGCTATAAATTTTTTCGTTATATTCTATGTATTGATAAATTTCAAATCGACAGATCCGATCCGGCCAATTTTTTCCAAATATCGGGTGGCGATACCTGGATTTAAATATCTTATTTTAACATATAATTCAATTTTCTTGATAGTTGCACAGGTAATATTACAATTGGAAATACCGAGTTGCTGGATCTTCGGACAAGAATGAATAACATTTCAAATCGCTATTTCAGAAATTTTTTTACGATTAGAAATATTCAGATATTCTAATTTATGGCATGAATTTGCGATCGCATATAGATCTTTATCAGTTATTAATCCGCTATAATATCCCTTTGTCAAGTTGAGATACTTCAGATTGGAGTATAATTCTGCTATTCGATTTAATGTTTTATCACCCACTCCCGCGCTATAATGTAAATTCAAATGAACTATATTTGAAAACAGGCGTATAATACCTTTGAATTTTTTATCTGAAAGTGAATGGTAGTTTGGAATGTCCAGATGGTTTACATTCAAACAATAAACTGGCTTATGCTCACCACGTATTATTTTCATAAAAATTTTTCGTATATTACTCTTATTTAGCTCAATTCTTTTCCATAGAATAGGAGCACCGCATCTGTACCATAATCGGGAAACATATAGAGCGGGATAGAGGGATTTATCTATCAATAAGAAATATAAAATCTGTTCTAATACTTCTGGTATACTAAAAATTCTTGAATGTGCCATAAATAATATGTGTATTAAAAATGCGAAGAATGATTTAAATTTCAAACTGATGACCAGCTACCTATAGGTAGACATATACTCTCTTTTTTCAAACATGGAAGGAAAAAGCATAATTAATTTCGATTTGAAAAAATATATTCTATAGTGTATATAACCTAAAGAATTGTTCATAACCTACTCGACCTACTATAACATTCAACCATGTCAGCCATCGTAACAAAAATCGTTGAAAAAATACAATCTCAGCTATAAGACTGATCCGTCTGAACTTAGTCAATATACCTCCGAGTTTCTCAAGGATCTTACAGACGATAGAAAAAGGAGCCAAGGGCGAAGACGCTTACGAGATGGTTTTAAATTTAGCAATAAGCAGGTGAGTATATTGATACCTAATCAGAGAAGCGGTAAAAACAAAACTATAAATATCGTCGAAGGCAGTTGCAGAATAGCCATAGCTTCACCTCCAAAAAATTTGGAAGAAGAGATTATCAGAGAGATAGCAAAATGAATCTTGCAGAATAGATATGGGTTCAGTGGGGACGAAATAAATGCATTATTTGCTTTGCAAAGTGACTTATGTCACCTCTCTAACCGGGGAAATGGAAGTAAGATTGTAAATGTTGCGATTTCCAACAAACCTTCGAAAGGAGTGGCAGAAGAAACTATCGGGGATATGGCGTATCAGCTTTTACGGGATAAGCTTAGTATTAGGGATATAAGAGCTGAAGCTTATGCCTTAGCCCTATCAACACCAAATGCCAATGCGGGTTCATCACGACTTTCGCGTCTTAGAAGAGAATTAAAAACCCTTGGCGCTTCATTCCAAATAATTGAGGCCACAAAATTTCCAGATATTACAGAAGAAGCTAACAAAATCCAGAGGGTCAACCAGAAAAAGGCTGAAGCTAAACGTATCGATTATCCAGATGAATTTACATTAGAATCAGTTAAGGAACGATTGGATGGTTATACTACATCTAATCCGCCTGATTTAAAAGCTCTCGCTGATGTCATGGTGATGCTTTGTATCCGCCCCGCTGAACTTACAACTTTACGTATTACAGATGCCGGAGTCACAGGTTATGCAAAGAACAGGGGCCAACCAGATATTCCTAGAAAATTTAGATCTATGGAAAAGGATCAAGAGCGAGCCAAAGAATTACTAATCTGAATACAGAATTCTATATCTTCTGGACGAATGGGTAATCCAGGTAAGCCAGGGGTTAAATGGTTCAATAGATTCTTAAAAGATTATGATTTAATTCCTAAATACTTACGTAAATTAGGAGCGGTTTACGGCGCAGTAGTTCATAAAGCTGAGAACCCAGCTCATGCCTATACCATTGCTGGAGAATGTCTACGTCATAATTCGGACAATTTTACTTCTCCAGTACAGAACTATGTTGTTGTGAATTACAGGCCCCGTGGAGTTAGTGCTGAGCAAGCAAGACCATTCTATATCTACGATGAAAATTAATTACTAACTGCACTTCTTTGTTACATGTATATTAAGCTCATCACCGGAACCTGAACCAAATTCAGATTCAGAGTCGGATTCAGATGAAGACGAGGATGTGGATGGGGACTCAGATGTGGTATCGTTAAAAATTTTCTTTTTTCTTTTAGCCTTGCATGGTGTACGTTTTCTACGAGAAATATCTGGATTTGCTACTAAGTCAATAATCTCTACCCTAATCTCGGGTTTCACTAATTTTAGTAATTGGCGAATAGAAATCTGAATTTTTTTACTAGACACTTGCTTAACAATACTGGATATCGCTCTATTGGTATTTTGAGATAGGGTATCCTTATTATTTTTCCAACCCATTTGTTCAGCAAATTCTTTGGTTATAGTTGACCAGTTAGCGCCTGAATCAATAGTAGGTTTAGTTGTCGTCGACGTCTTAATATTATTTATTAATACGAAGTAAAAAATTCATTATTGAATATATTATTAAATATAGAATCACAATGATAACTTTATCTTGCAAAATCAGTAAAGTACCAGTTACAGCTATATTAGATTCCGGTGCTAATTGTAATATTATAGGTAAGGAAGTAGTAAATGGGTTAGGTTTAAAAATCGGTGATAGCTCTGATGTAGAAGTATACAATCCCATTAGCAAGCTCGATGTCATAGGGGTAATTCGTGAAATAGAGATTTCAATACCGTCTCAAGACTCTAAATGGAAACAAGTAAAAGTTACGGATATTTTTGTTGTTAATAGTCCTGAACATGTACTGAATTTAGGTCAGCCATGGTTTAAAGATAATGCAATGGAATTGAACTTCCCAAATAAAATTCTTACACTCCTTGATGGAACTGCTATACCATTAGTTATTGGATCAGGAATTCCGCCACCTACACAACTCAATCAGTCCGTGGATGAATATTTCAAGGCGATAGAGCTATATGCTACAGCATTGGGTCTTGACTTAGATAGTCAAAAGGTTAAAGAAAAATTTATCAATGGCCTATTACGAGAAAATAAAAAAGAGGTAATTCGATTAGGGTTTGAAAAACCTCTGAATGTAATAGTCAAACACTTGAACAGAATCTCATCCGGATTTACTGATATAGAAAAGTTCTCATTCGGGTCTTTGAAACAAGGTAATGATTCGATAATGGAATTTTACAGGAAATTGAAAAAATATTATAAATTACTCAGAAATGATGAAGAGTGTCATCTTAAAAATCATTTTATCCGTGGGTTGTCACGCGACAACCAGCTAGAAGCTGGGAGATGTGGATTGGACCTCCCATTAGATGAGCTAGTAGCAAGGTTAAGTGCATTGGAAAA